AATGTTGGTGACACAAGTTTCAACCATATAAAATAGTTATTGTAGCTAGCTCGCCATGGCTTTGTTTTTTTCACGTGCATGTGATCCTGGCCTAGGCTGCCTGACATCAATGTTCCCAATACCGCAATTCAAGGCGGGATGGGTTGTGAGCCAAGGTGCAAACGAAATTGAATTTGGGATTTGAAATCAAAATCCTACATCAACACCCCCATGTTTGTATGGAAGCGGATGGGCGCCATCTAGTTGTATGACGCCAATGCTCAAACATTTCAGGCAAAAGGTGTTGAAAGAAGATCAGCAATGTCATCAGTGGCAATCACACGACGAGTGGAAAATGAATAAACACTTCAAACATTTCTTTTGCATGCGGTCAAACAGTCACCACAAACTTTGCTGCCACGCAGTTGGCCCTGAAGCCACCAAGCTAGTCCCCAACATGATATTCCAATCAGACTGTAAACATAGATCTAGCTATATCAAACTAGTTCGCATATGTATGGTCAAATTCCAAATCTCCAATGGGGACCGCCTACGGCAAGACCAACCAGACATCTACTTTACTTTCTTGTGAAAGTTTCCAGTCCAAACTGGCCTCAACATAGCATGTTGTCGGAAAAAGGCAGTGGCTTTCCTGGCAATTTCCCTGGCAACAGCCTTCTCCTTTGTTTCTGCCATAGCTTTTCTATAGGCATTGGAATAAACATTGTTGGCATGGATGTGAGACGGTGCTGGTACAGCGTCCTTTGGGACAGTTCCAGCTGAATTTGACTTTGCGGGGGCCTCTGCATTGTCAGTGGCACTCATCCTGATTGCCCTAGATGTTCGTGGTTTCTTTGGCTTAGGCTCATCGTCGGCTGATACAGTGTCTTTGCTGGCTGTGCTACCCTTTCTACCCCTGGTTGGCTTTGTCTTTGCTGCAGCGTTGGCTTTGGTCTTGGATGCTTTGCTTGCTGCTTTTGCTTGTGGCTTCTTTGCTCCTGACTTAGCTGCTGCCTTTGCCTTTGCCTTTGGAGTGGCTTTGGCACGAGGTCGGCGCACGTTTGGACGGTTCGGTGCTGACTTTTGCCGTTTCCTAGGTTTTTCATCATGCGCATGCTCATCATTTTCATCATATTCATCATCCCCTTCTGGCTCACCCACCTCATCGTCGATAGCCTTGGAAACTGCATTTGCTGGTTTCCTCCCACGTGGTTTTGCTTGTTTGCTAAAGTCAGGGGGCGGAGCAGTTGAAACAGCCTTTGCAATGTCGGATGCAAAGGGTGGTTTTTCGGGCACTTTGTATTTGTACTCACCATCATCTTTTTTTTCTGGTACTGCAACTGTGAGACTGGCCCCACTTGGTAGCTTGGGAGGTTGGGACATGTCTGGCCCAGAGTCTGCCAAAACATCCATTGGTTTGAGGGCTGCTGACTTTGACACACCATGTTCTACTGGCAATGGTTGCATCATGGGGTTCAGACAGCACAGCTGCTGATGCGGCCACGGCTCCATGCCCTGGGAGATCACTTAGGCATACGATATCACCATCACATTCTGAATCTGATTTCCAATCATCAACCTTAGATTTCATGCAATAGAAAGAGAAGGGCAAACCATGCACCCAAACAACCCCTTCAAGCAGATCAGCCCAACACTGCCAGGCAGCATAGCCGTTCCATGATATCGAAGCTGGCTCGACGTCCGGTGCCTTGCGCAGGACAGGGGGTAGATGAACCGTGTGACTGAAAGGGAATTTCCATTCTGGTGGTTGTAAAACCCAAATGTATTGATTTAAATTTCAAAATAGGTGTATACAGATCAGTAGTAGCAAAGTGCAAACCAATGGGTAAACACCTAGATAATGTATACATCAATCGGCCTGTTGCTCGTCATCAGAAATGTTATGGACTTCTTGAAGGTCTTTGCGATCGCAATGATCTGCTGAACCAGTCTCAAAGGCTGATGATTCCCGTGGAAACTCCATAAGCCTGATGGATCCAGGAATGGGTTGTGAACCAAGTGGGAAATAGTAGTCCCATTCATCTTGAGTTCTTGGCTGGGAATCTGGTGCTTCCCAAACATCCAACACATCAGGCAGATCGACGCTTTCAGCAGCCATGCCTTATATAACATGTTCTGATGACTTCTGCAAGTCGAATATGTAGATTTAGAACTATCAAATTGTATTGAAAACTATCACTTTGATGCCATAAACTGAGATCTAGACTTGAAGCTGATGCTTCGAGATCCTTTGCCTAGGTTACTGAGGTTGCATATGTACCTAAATATCGTGTACGCTATTGGACAATACCCGCATGTCATAAATGGAATTGAGATGAACACAGGTTGATGCTAGGTATTCAATGTCTGGAACATCAAACCTTAAGCATGACCGAGTTGCCCCTGCATTTCCCAGACCGCTCGATCCTACAACATCAGTGGTGCCTCCACAACGGTCAGATGCCCCAGAATGCAGATTGGAACGGTGGACTGTGGTCTTAAATAGGCTAAATACAAAACGAAACCAGCACATCCTGCCTTCATGAGGCGTGATAATCTCAACATCATCATCTTCATCGTCATCCACATTGTTGATGGGTTGATTTACACTTGCAGCAGGAGATGGTTCCTCTGCGCATGGTTCAGAAACAGCTTCCTGGTTGGTCTGGGGTGAACGTTTCCCCCTGCATGTTGGTCGTGCACGACGCTCGCATGGACGCAGCACGGCAATCAAAGCAGCTGCAACCTGAATTGCACATTGACAAAAGTCGAGTGATTAGACGGTTATTAGAAAAATATGTATGAGGTTTGGACAGATTATGTTGCATATGCAGAAATCAATAAAATACCAAATGCAATAGAGGGACCCTACCCTTGGTGCGACGTTTGAGGGCCTTACGCCAATACCTTCGACCATATGACAACAACTCATATAGTGATGTTGCCTCTTCGGATGCCCAAGTCAGTCTATCCCGTTGATACCGTTTTTTGCTGAGCCCATAGTCCGAAGATTCATCGATCTTGGCAATGATGTGCTTGAGATAGCGGTGAGTGTAATCCCCTTATTGCTGATCACTGGACTGATGAATCAATGGTATGTTGTAGCAACTGCATGTCACACATACTCATGTAAACTTAATACAAACTAGCATCCTTCAGGAGACACATCAAAGAGCGCAAGGATGAGGCCGAGGTATGTATCCAGATTACTAAAGGTGACCTTTGTGCTGTCAATATCCTTGAAGAGGGTGTTCAAAGGAGGTTTCGCAGCAGCGCAATCTAGGAAGCTTGAAGAAGGGAGGTGCTTCTTCAAAACACCTCATGCCAATCATCAACATCATGAAACAAATCTGTTCAATTCGATAGCCGTTTTTTAACAATCTATAGTATACAATGTTTTGTACCTCAAGTCAGCCCAGCCTATAACCTCATCCTCACGACCTTCCAATACCGCCATGGGTTCCCACTCCGGAATGAGAACTGTGAGCCAGCTTTGCCACTGCATGGGAGAATCATATCTGCAATGTTGGAATGACAATCCAAGAGGATCCATGTATGGAATATTTACCTACATTGACCCCTAAAGTAATTTAAAATAATCCCAATGTAGGTAAATATTCCATACATGGATCCTTAGGGAATGATAAACCATCGACAATAAACAGCGGGTATCCTATCAAAAACGGAAACCCCACTATCACACGGATGGTTGAATTCTTGTCACTCAAACATTCAATCATGCACCCAAGGGTCCAATGATCAATGAAGCTGCCACCCCGAGCCCCCAAGTTTTCCCATCAGTCCTCTTTTGGAGTGGTGCCGAGGCATCGTGATGACATCGACATTGCACGTGCGTAGAGAGCGCCAGAAAAAAATCCACTTGGGTTCAGGTGTGGGTGAGTTTGGCAATAGGTTAGGTTCATCATAGCATGGTTCATCTTCAACTTCACAACAGTGTGTTGGAACCTTATGTGCAAAACATTGGATGAAACCTTAAGTGTTCATTTTCGGATGTCTATAGTGTTCAAACATGTTCAAACCAACCCTGCCAGCCATAGCGGCACTATCTGGGCAAGCAGGTGGGTACCTCGACCCCTCGGCTGGATTTCCCTGATGGTTCCGACCTCTCCCTTAGAGATACGAGATACGGACCTCTCGCTGGGAGATACGGACATCTCGCTGAGAGATACCAATGATTGTTAGGGATAATTGTAGAAATAACATAATCATAATTTTGCCCCTACCCCCGTTCTCACAACATATCAGATCAAGTGCTATAGTATGTTGGCATGTGTATTCATATTCGCTAATACTTACTGTATATCACAGTAACATCACTTTTTTAAACTCATATTATCGGTTTTTTAGGCAGATTTATATGTTTCTGGTCAACTCATTCCCCTTATTTTAGCGATGATTTCCCTGAGTATCATTTACCATCTGGTTATGACTAACATAGCCATAGAAAGATCCACCCATTTTTAATAGGTAAACCCAGGTAAACCCAGGTAAACCATCTATTTCGATTAGGGCCATCTATACCATGGCTATGTTAAATTACCAGAGGGTACATTCATTTACCTTCATTTATGGCGACCTCGTGGTGAAGCTCTAAGTGATCCACATGTTATGCTGCTACTTTCGCGTGGCCACGAAAGGGTTTTTTTCGCCATCAAACTGATGGCGGATGCTTAACACGCTACCAGAACTGAACAAACCCTGCCACTGTGAGGCTCATCGGTAGCCAGATTTTGATTGCACGAAGTTGAGAATTCCAAATCCAATGGTTAATCTTAGATAACCTCACATCAATCTTTAGCATGCTTTTGATATCTTCCTCCAACAAAATGAGTAAAACAATGTAAAACATGACCCAAAATTTCATGAGCACTTCACATGGCCAATCTTAGATTCAAACTAGTTTCTCTGCAAAGGCTGCATAAAATGGTTAGAAAACATTCGGTCCGTTACTGTTCATCATTCTTAAGTTGTATAATAGATTATAATAGACATTTCTAAACTACGGAATTCCATGGAATTCCCACTGCTTTGCTCAGTCCTGGGTCTCGAACCCTCCCTTTGAGCGGTTCGCAGATTGCCGTGACTCAATGACCCTGTCCCCACCTGGGCGGAGGGTGGGAGTTTTGGTGGTTTCCGCCAATGCCAGAACTACCGGGGAGGATCAGATCCAGCCATTTGTTGATGGTGTTTATGGTCATATTTGGATGCTGTAACCCTGGAATTATTATGGTTTAGTATGGTTTAGTATGAGCCATTGAAATGGCAAGTTGAAGTTGGGAACTTCCGAATGCAAATCGCTGGAGTTCTGGGGTGCCTTAGTTCAACACAAACACATGTGGGTAAGCAACCAAGTACCGGGGATGTACCCATACAATATGCGGCCATGGTTGGCCAATTGTTCAGAGTTTGTCCCCGACAATCTAGATACCAGGAGGGGAAGTCTGTCACCAATTAACCCATTTCTGCAAAGCTAGGACATAAATGGGGGGTTTCCTAAAATGTGAGTACCCCAAAATAGACGGTTCATTCATGGTAAACCCCGAATCTATAAATGGAAGATGACTGGGGGTACCCCCATGACTTTTTGTCACACCCAAATCTTGAGTGTATATTCATTTCAGGCATTTCAGATGACAGATTTCCCAAACATTGTTCCAGGTATTCACTGCGTTGGTTTAATGGTAGAAAAATACAGTGCAACTTGTTTTTCCCGAGAGCGTCTGAGCGCAGGGTTCTTCCAATAGTGGGGGTCTGTAAACACATCTTCTCATCTTCACATCTGCTCATCTTCACATCCTCTCATCTTCACATCATCTCTCATCTTCACATCTTCTCATCTTCACATCTGCTCATCTTCACATCTGCTCATCTTCACATCTGCTCATCTTCACATCCTCTCATCTTCACATCTTTTCATCTTTCACATCCTCTCATCTTCACATCTGCTCATCTTCACATCCTCTCATCTTCACATCTGCTCATCTTCACACATCTTCACATCCCATCTTCACACATCTTCTCATCTTCACATCTGCTCATCTTCATCTGCTCACATCTGCTCATCTTCACATCTGCTCATCTTCACATCTGCTTCACATCTGCTCATCTTCACATCTGTTCATCTTCACATCTTCTTATCTTCACACCTGCTCATCTTCACATCTGCTCATCTTCACATCTGCTCATCTTCACACCTTCCTCATCTTCACATCTGCTCATCTTCACATCTGCTCATCTTCACATCTGCTCATCTTCACACCTGCTCACCTTCTCTCTCACGCCTTCTTTTTATCTTTCTCTCTTAAGGCCGAGGGTGGTGCCGGCGGCGAGTCACGAAACGTCAACCCTTTCGCACGAAATGAGGGTCGATCGGCAAAAACTGAAGTAAAATTGCGATTTGACTTGTGCTGGAGCAACCCTTTCGCACGAAATGAGGGTCGATCGGCAAAAACTGAGGTAAAATTGCGATTTGACTTGTGCTGGAGCAACCCTTTCGCACGAAATGAGGGTCGATCGGCAAAAACTGAAATAAAATTGCGATTTGACTTGTGCTGGAGCAACCCTTTCGCACGAAATGAGGGTCGATCGGCAAAAACTGAAGTAAAATTGCGATTTGACTTGCCCCGGAGCAACCCTGAGGGTTCGCACGAAATTGCGACTTGTGGTCGATCGATCGCAAAAACTGAGGTAAAATTGCGATTTTACTTGTCCTAAAGCAACCCTTTCGCACGAAATGAGGGTCGATCGGCAAAAACTGAGGTAAAATTGCGATTTTACTTGTGCCGTTCTTGTCTGTGTGTAAAAGCGCCTGTGTGTAAAAAGCGTCTGTGTGTAAAAGTCTCTGTGTGTAAAAGCGTCTGTGTGTCAAAGCGTCTGTGTGTCAAAGTGTCTGTGTGTAAAAGCGTCTGTGTGTAAAAGTGTTTGTGTGTAAAAGTCTCTGTGTGTAAAAGCGTCTGTGTGTCAAAGCGTCTGTGTGTCAAAGTGTCTGTGTGTAAAAGCGTCTGTGTGTAAAAGTGTTTGTGTGTAAAAGTGTTTGTGTTCAAGTGTTTCTGTGTAAAAGCCTCTGTGTGTAAATGTGTTTGTGTGTGAAAGCGTTTGCGTGTAAAAAGCGTCTGTGTGTAGAGGTTGTCTGTGTGTAAAAGCGTCTGTGTGTAAACGTATCTGTGTGTAAACGTGTCTGTGTAAAAGCTTCTGTATGTAAAAGCTTCTGTGGGTAAAAGCTTTCTGTGTAAAAGTGTCTGTGTAAAAGCTACTGTGTGTAAAAGCTTCTCACTATTTGGTCTTGATACTCCTCTTCTCGACTGCCTATAACACATCTTTCATACATCGTTTCTAAAATTGCGTCTCCATACTAACAAGAGAAGACCCTGCTCTTCTACGCTCTCGGGCCATCCGTCGTCTAGTTTTACCATTGAACATGGTGGTGCCCTGTTCTTTTTCATTGTCCAAATCATTTATATAGTTTCTTTATTTTACAGTTTATATGCATTTTAGATGCATTTCCGAAACGTGTTCCATATTCTCTCAAAGGTTGATTCAGTAATGTGGGATTCACCCAATGACTGAAAGCTCGCGGCAATTGAGATTGTTTTTAACACCCAACAATCTGGCAAGTGACAATGGCATCGGGTGAATCCCACATAAATTCTGACAAGAAACGAGGTAGCGCTGTATATTTAGTAGAACCCTGGATGCTTTCTATGGTAGCCAACGAAACGCATTACTAGTTCTGCTAAGTGGGAACAATTCATTACCAGAATCTAAATGGGTTATAGTATGTTATAATGGGTTTACAAAAGATATATTCCAATTTATGGGGCGAAATGACTGTGATTTTCTCATCCCCGGCCTGAAAATCATCCCAAGTATGATCGAATCAGTAGGGCAAACCTGGCGCTTATTTCGTACATGAGGTACGTCACAAGATGGGGCCCCCAGTCGAGCTCGCGTGAAGCGTTAGTGAACATTAGTGGTTGAATTCGATTGGGTTTATGGTAGATATAACGAACTAGTTCATGGGGATACCATCATGGTTTTTGTTAAACAACGTTCACATCACTGGGGGGCCCCTATTTTGCAGAAGGTCCGTCAATGACTCCGTAGATCGTCCCTCCAGCAGCGTGTGAGGCAACGGCAATCTCGACTTGGTCGTCTGTGGCGTTTAATGGACACATTCCGATTCCCAAGTGAATATGGAGCTTTTAAGGGTTTATAAACCACCAAGAATGGCGAATCTTAACCATCTGTCATCCACTTTTGATCAATGGCCATGACTTAGGAACCGATTGATTGGAGGTACCGATTCCATATATAAGGTCTATTTTTCAGGCCTATGTAAGGGAATACCCACAATTCATATGGCCAAACATATGGTACGTTTACGTACCTCCATTTTAGGATCCTGAAATTTCTATTGAAATCAGGACATGTCTGCTCCAATGGGCAAACTGTAACTGGCTTCTTGTTCTGGGGCCCATGATGGTGGTACTCTATCTCCTGGAACCACAGGAGAGTGTTTGTTGGTTTGTTTTCAACCCATGAACTAGTTCAATACAATCTACAATAGATCCATGGTGAAAAACATTTCGCGAACTCAAACCAACTTAGCTATCATCAAATCCACTAAATCCACTATAGATCACCATATTTTTCTCAGTTCACCTTGATCACCGGCCCCCATTTCTATGGGCGAAAATCTCCACCAAAAGTAGCGCTGAAAACCGAGGCGCCACTGCCGATTTTGGTAGATGGGGATGTCCTCATCGTAGCCCACCTGGTGCATCTCGCCATCCAATTTCAGCCATCCAATGTGGTTAAAACAATGCCATGTTTACCATCCCCAAAAACACCATTTTTATGGGTGGTATAGACCATCAAACATGGGCTGGTAAACATGGCATTGTTTTAACCACATTAAATGTATATAAATGCGGCTAGCATTCATTTGGTTTCTCGGGAAGTCCCCCGTAGTCGCTGATGGTCCAATCCACGGTTTCCGATGTTCCAATCTCCGTTCGATGATTGGAGTGGGGTACCCAGCCACTACCCCAAGTCATCCACATACCCTCTGGTAAACGTTTACATAGCTATTGAGAATGGCACATTTAGTTCGTGGATTTACCCAGCTACAAAATGGTGATTTTCCATAGCTATTAGTTTATCAGAGGGTATATATTTACATGCGTTTACCCAAACAATGAGACACTTATGAAATCATTTACTAAACACCGAAGATTTTATATGGTTTACATGGCCAATCTTAGATACCCGGCAAAAAAAACTTGGTGAACGTAGATAATCCCATACCATCCAAGACTAGTTAATTGACCTAGTTATATGGTTTATACATTGTTTATGATATAAATATGGTTTATCATATACAGATAGAGGTTTATAATCTCCAGTAACTATAGTTATAGTTATAAATACCATAAACCATAATTGTATAATATTTTTCCATGGTTTATACATAGTTTATACATCACTTTAGCATACTTTCGCAATCTGATCAATCTTACGAGGTGCCAGCTATGACGATTTGAGCACCGTTTGGCTGGCTTTTGACGAGCAATATGAGAAGTATCCAACAAGTGGATATTGCTACTAGTATTTCCATTTACCAAATCAGGAGATATTTCCATGAACTGGTCATAGCTGGGCACCTAGAAAGATTCCCACTCTTTATGGTACGGTCGGCCAATAGGGCATCTTTGTTATGAACCCAGAGCTTGGCGCTCGAAATGATCGAGCCCGAAAAGTGGATCAACCTGTTGAATATGTCCAAGATGGTACAAACCCTCCCCCTTATTCTTCATCGTACCCCAAAATAGAAACAGAACTTCGGGTTCCTAATTCTATTTGGGTTTGTCTGAAAATGTTGTGTACCCCTACACCCAATGGTTTTGCTGATCATTATCCCTATGAAAAATGGCTATTTCATTGGGAAACTCTACCCTATTTTCAGACATCCCCATTTGGATTCGTTGAAAACTGGGTTTCAAACATCTAGTCGTTGAAGCCACTTTTGGACCCTATGAAAACATATGGCATTAAGATGCATGAGAGGTGTTTCCAAGAAGAAGGGTCCCCAGATTCCCGTCTTTTCTGTGAAAAAACATGCATTTATTTTACTTCTAGGAAACTCTTCAAAATCCAATAGTTGGCAATGTTTGAATAGATTTTGAAAACATATCTTAATTAGTTCTTGAAAGTGACATTGGTGCTTTTTATTTAGGTATTTTACTATTTACCATTTCACTATTTATTTTTGAACCCATCGAAATATATCGAAATCACTTTTGTTGAAAACTAATTTACTGTTTTGAAAGCGACACTTTCTTTTGTGTTTCAAGGCTCTTGCTTTACTATTCAGGGGACCATCAATGCCAACTCCCCGAATTATAGAACATCCTCGAGCTTATTGTGTGGGTGGTTTTAGTATTGGGGGGAAAATATTGGTTGTTGGTGGTTGAGCCTACCCCTCTGAAAAATATGAATTCGTCAATGGGAAGGATGACATCCCATATATGAAACGGAAAATAAAATTCATGTTCCAAACCACCAACCTGTTTTGATACTCATCATTTTTATTTTATTTTGTTGGTGAATTCCCCATCTGTTCGTCGAATCACCCTTCGCTTTGTGAAACTTCTCTACCCGCCCCCCCGAAACCCCGTTGGACCTGTCGAAAACCCTTCGACTCCGAAGCATTTCGTCGCGCACACAGACCTTTCGAAGCCGTCGGGGACGTGGCTATGAGGTGAAGCTGGCGGTGATTGCAGGATGTGAATCAACCCAGGCTGAGCAAAAAAACACATGATCAATGCCCTAAAATATCCTAAAATTACACCAGGAATGTTTTATCCATTTGGAAAAAGGAGTTGAGTAATGCCAGAAACATAGAATTTGTCCGAAAATGGAAGATTAATCCGAGAGAAAAGGTGTATTCAGCCAATAAGTTAAGTATGAACACATCGTGTTGCAGGATGATTCATGCCGAATTTACCCAAAGTGGGGATACACATAAACACACATCAAGAAGCGATATCAAACATGACTCATAACTAAGTATATTTAAGCGACCTAGGCAGAAGGCAGAAAGCAACAACGGTATGACCAGATATTGCACCAACTCTGAGTCATGGGATATACCCAAATAAAGTCTATCCTAACTGAAGGCCTCACCAGGTGGTGATGGTCATAAGTTGCTAACTCACCCCATAGGAGGTGATTGTAGAGATATCTAAACCATAAAACTTCATAAAAAAACTAGTTCTTGGAGTTACAAAACAACTTGGAAAACTATGTGGCACTCCTCTTGAAACATGTTGGCCACTGCTCGGCAAAGAAAACCGTCCACATGGTTGACTGTAGACACATTTTCAACAAGTTGAGGATTTCAATTTAAACTCACAGTAAGCAACTATCTTAAATGTTCATCCTGTGGCAAATCATGGTAAAGCCAACTTTTTTACTACCAGACATGGCATAAACCTCCAGACATTGGACATTACCGACCACGCTGTCCACGGTGAGCACCGGACCTCTGGAGCACCAGAGAAGCATGCCAATGATCAGCAACAAGACGACCCCAAGCCTCAGCATCGTTTCGTCGGCCATCGGCCATCCGTTGTGCCAAAAACCGCATCCGTTGTTTTCATGTCGTTTCTACAGCCATCCAAGTATAGTTAACCCATCTAACTATAGTTATCACTTTGTTATACCCTCTGGTAAATTAACATAGACCCTGGCAGATAGGGGTTGGAAGACTAGTTTCCATTAACAATTGGTGATTTTCAGGGTCTATGTTAATTTACCAGGGGGTAACTACCATGAAAACCTCTAGTTCGAAACCAACTTACCAATCTTGTGTGGGATCCGTCGGACTTTGCCAGCAACGGCAGGGTACCAGGATTTTGACCCAAAAAAAACCATGGGATGAAGCCCTTGTGCCTTCGGCAGGTCATCAAAAAAACTGTGGTGATAGAAGCGAAACATATATCTAGCTTGGATGATGATGATCAATATGATGAAGATGATTATGATTTCATTATTTTTTGAGATCAACATGTTTTAAACATAATAAATTTGGGGTACCTTAACTAACATAGCCATTGAACATTGCCATTTAATTCGTTGATTTACGTTCTAAACAATGGTGGTTTTCCATAGTTATGTTAGTTTACCAGAGGGTAATGTCTAGTGATAGTGTTATAATGCCCCCTACTTATACCTTACAATAAACAATAGATGGCTGGATGGTGCTATATACCCACTCACATAACCTGTCATCAAACGACTGGACGTCCGGAGGACTACCACCGAGGCCCCGTACGAACTGTACAGCAAGAGCCGTGTGCCCTGCGGTGAACTCACCACTAGAATGGGGGTACCCATGATAAACCATTGTGGAACCATTTTGTTTTAGGATTTCCCATCTATTCCCATGTTATGTTAGGAATTTTCCATTAAAAAACCATCCAGCTATTGGGGTACCTTTATGGACACCTCCAACCAACATCAACCAACATCAACCAACGTTTGGCCGGTCGCCTAGAGGATATTTGAAGATATTTCATGGTGAATCAAAAAAAACACAAATTAAACCAACAGCTCAAAGATCCTCCCATCAAATACATTCAAATATCTCTTCATCCTCCCATGTTGGTTATATGGTCAGGTTATTTAACATAGCCATGAAAAATCACCATTTTTAATAGGTAAACCATCTATAAATGCGCCATCTATACCATGGCTATGTTAAATAACCAAAGGGTACCCAACATTTTCTGATTGTCCTGCAAACTCTTCCACCAGGAGGACCAGCATCAGCCCAAGAAGATGTTGCCATGGCCAATAATATTAACAACTCAAAATCTTCAAAATCTCTCCATCCTCCCGGCCGGACACCGACCCCGGCCTCGGAGGGTCCTGTCCTCCGGGTCGAACCCCGGAGGTGCGTGGAAGCCTCTGTCGCCTGGGTGAAACAACTCGCTGGGAGGCCGTTGATGACGAAAAAACCGTTGGGAAATGGTTGTTTTGTAGCGAACAAATAGGAAAAATGGTGAGTATATGTGAGTACCTCCCTGCAAATGGTCAATTGATTGGCAAAAACATGAGAAAATGATGATGCAACACGGAATTTAGTACACGTGGGCTAGTTTTAGACAAACCATCACACCCATCTGCAATGATCAATGTGGGTTTTCTCATCTCATGTGATGAACTATGGGGATGCTATTCATTTTTTCTCCTGTTGGGGTTCAATTTAGTACCAAAATCATCCCCAGAGATACAGAATGTAGCAAATTTTGTAAAACCACAACGATATCCGGGATTGGATTATAGGGGTATTTTGGGATATACCAAACAATGTCAATATGCATATTCATGTATTTCCCTTACCAAATAGATTTCACAGTATCTTTCTTAAAATAACATTATAACATATTTGCATAACATACAATATAAAGGTTCCCCACACAATACATAACAATGAGTATTGCATTTAATACTAGATTTTCACCATCAAGTTAAATCAACATTGTATTTTTACTTACTGTGTATCTGTGGAGCTACCTCCCCATTTTTTAAGGTGGTTTAATCCCCGCTGCTGTTGGTAAATCTACCACTTAACATGTGTGGTTTACCCACGAAATACCAGCGAAAATTGTCTTTGTTGGTTGACCTCCTGGCTTTCGCTCTCAAGTCATCCCGGGAGTCATCCGATTTCATGATTTCCTGACGGCCTAAAAAACTAGATGCCAAAAAGTTATGTTTACCCTCTGGCAATCAAACATGGCAATGGTAAATATCCTCTGGTAATTCAACACTTCGCCATTGAACATGGCCGTTTATGGTTGATGTACCTATCAAAAATGGTGATTTTCCATAATTATGTTTGTTTGCCAGAGGGTACCCTATTTATAGATGATTTTGCCTAGCTAGAAACAGACTAAAAACCCCTCCCTCGCCCAGTGGCCGTATCCTGAGAAACCTCGGCAGCCAACAGGAAACGCACTGAGAGGTCGCTGTAAAACCCCAGTGGTTTAGCATAGGGACATGAACAAAAATAACACTTGGGGGATGGGAGTTCAAGGATATCCAAGGTGTTTTTTGATGGTTTCGAAAATTGGGTCAAAAATTTATCGGATCATCGAACACGTCCTGAGCCACTTGGCAGAACCTACCATTTCAATCCATTTCATAGTTAACCATCCCCATTTTTTGTAGTTAAAATATGTTCGCCCCAACCCGGACGTTGCTCCACAATTTCAATCGTCATGATCATCATCACCATCATCATCATCATGATCATCGCATCATGATCATCATCACATTAGAATTCGTCCACCAAGACTGCAGTCCTTCGGCAGTGCCTTGAGCACGTCCCGGCACACTGGGTCCACATCTCATGTGATGACCTGCCCAACAAAATTTCCAGGCTCTGTAGGATGTTGTTTTCGCACTTCGTTCCCAATTGCTCCCGATTGCTGATGCAACGACGCAGCACCGTTGCCAGTGCCATGGTTGGACTCGTTCACAAAGAGGTTCATGCACAACACACTCCGATTTGGCAGTGGCAAGGTTCTTGCGTTGTAGCTGGACCATCCTGTCATCAACTCCTGCATCTTGTCTGGAGTGTTTGGCCATTTCTGCGAGGCTGCCAATCGACGTGAAACCGTGTGCATCTCCCGTCCAGTACTACATGGGTCCTTGTAGTTAGTGTACTTATACTTCATTTGTTTGAGTTAAAATCTACTTACACGGGACCCACATAGCGAAAGTTAGACCTTACCTATAAGTAGGCTAAGTCGAAAACATGTTTTTGAAAAGTACCTTTTTTGGATCGTCGTTTTTTATTGTGTATGTTTTTGTATTTTGAAAGTTTGGAATTGGAAACAGCAAATTTAGATTGTATTTTCAAGGATTATAGCGGACACACCGCCAAAGCATTGAAAATGGTGATTTTCCATAGTTATGTTAGTTTAGGGTAATAGAAATTTATTTGTTCAATTGCGCCGCTTCATTGCAACAACCGGCCAGCAAGCTTACATCTTTTTTTTCAGCGTTTAGCGCAGGCAGTAGACTATGTCATTCTCCATTCTCCACCACGGTGGACTGAACCAGGAACTTGTAGCATCAACTTTCATGATTGCGATTGCACCCGTATCAGTCCACATAGTTCCCCAACCTTTCCGACCTACCAGTCGTAATTTTCGAAGAGCAAAGGCAAAGCCGAGGGAATCTCCATGTAAACACGTGGTGTCATTTTCATAAAAGATGATGTCGTTCACGTAGGTCGTCACGTGAAATCTTTGTATCGCCACACCTGTTTTCAACGAAGCATCTTTGAGAGCGTCAATCAAGCTTTTCTTTGCTGATTGACTGTGCAAGAGTAGGAAAGTGTCTCGAGGGCTTTCTTCTAAACGGTGACAGTGAGAAGCCAACATGCGCGGCAGCAAGGCCATGGCAAAAATGCGATTGACTTGGCCACGAAATCGTTCCGCCAAACCGTTCTTATAGCTTCGATGTTTTGCTTCATGCTGTTCACATCGTAAGGCTAACTGCAAAGTTAGGAAGGCAGCAGGCAGATGTCTTCTGTGATGATGTTTTGGCTTTATGTCGGCATCTCCATATGCTTCCAAAAAAGCTCGCTGGTGCGCACAGTGCAGTGCATCTAAACTTCTCACCTCATCGGGAGAAGTGATCTGCAACATAAATTTCAATCTCTGTCTGAATTTCTTCACACGAGCCTAGGAGTTCCACGACAATGTACCTCATCAGCGGAACCAGACTTTCGACTTGCGCAGCTTGCCCTTTGTAGTAGTTTTCTCCAAACAGTTGCTGTTCCAAAGGCCACGCATGTAACTATTGTATCCATGCTTGCAGCACCGTGGACCAGACCATTGCACATTTAAGCACAAGCGGGCTAATTGTTCTAGCTTGAATGGCGTTTTTCTTTGAATAGCATGATGCAACATTGCGATTTCCCAGCTGGCGCACCCATTGTTCAACACAGTATGCATTCCATCAACACAGAGCATTGATGGCGGCAAACGTTCTCTAGCCTCTCGATCAAAGAGCAGGGAGGTCGGGATGTAATTTAATCCCAAGGCTTTCTCATAGTTGTGAATTTTCTTTTGAGGTTGTCCACTTTCAACCATGTTTTTCAGACTGTGCGCAGCGGCAAATATATCCGCATCACTTCCCTGTTGAAATTTGGCCATGTCAGCTTCAGCGCAAATATGTCCGCCAAATGAAAGCGGAGTCACCGCCAAAAATAAAGATACTTCAAAACAGCCGTACACCAGCAGTCAGGCAACCTTCAATGCTGAAAATCCCACAGTTGTTTAGACACTCCCCAAGAACGCCGGCTCAGATTCTTTTTACTTGCTGGTGCGCACAATGCCATACTTCTTCTGAAAAAAAATCTCTTCTCAGTCACATTATGTGACCGAGGCTTTGCGTATCCATGCTTCTCCTTGAATTGCTGCCTCTTGGAGGTCGCGACGGAACCTTTCTCATCTGTGGAGGAGCTAGCTGGTCCCTTGGAAGAAGAGCTCGAAGTAGCTGCAGCGTTGGGTTCAGGTCGTGCTCGGGTGTCAGACGCCGCAGCTGTGGTTGTTGTTTTAGAAGCATCTGCTTGGGACATGGAGTATTTCTGATACAGGAGTTCGCAAACAGTGGTCTTCACACTGCGCCGTGGAAGCAAATCTTGTACTTGGGCCCGTCCATCCTGTGCCAGCTCGACTTCGATGAGTTGCGCCGCTTCGAGCAGCAGCCTCCGACATTCCATGGCCGTCATCGGCTCCATCCCAGCGGCCATGGCTAGCGATGGAAGAACTTTGTGCTGACAAACTACTTCATGCGTCACATGCGGAAGTTTGGCATCTACGACTGCTTCTTGCGAGGAATGTTTCTCGGGAGATACATTTCTAGATAGTTATCTTTCAACCCGTCTTGTAACAATGAACTGTGTGATGGCTCCATGTATTCCTGTGATTGTTTCTGTCTTTGCATGTGTGTGTCCCGCATTGAAACCGTTGGTGCAGCTGGCTGCCAGCGACGACATGAGTTGCAGAAAATGTTTCCGGTAACAAATGTACGATAACCGCCAAGAAGAAGCGAATAAACCGCCAAAGACAGATAGCGGACATACCGCCCAAGACATAAGCGGTCACACCGCCAAGAGACATGGAGACGGAAAAAGAAAGAGGAAAAAAAGAAGGAGAAAGAGAGAGAGAGAGAGTGTATATATATATAAAGGCATGTAGCTATGTTCTATTGACACACTATGACACATACAAAGTCAAGAGCTAAACCACCGTGTCCGCCAGTTGATACAGAGAAAACAGATAGCAAGCCAGAGAGACATACAGAAAAGAAAGTGATAGCAGCAAAGCGAACAGCCGATAAATGCATTGCATGCGAGCAGGTCGTGTCAAAGGTGAACACGCAGAAAAAGCACATCAATGACGGCGTGTCTCTTAACAGAATCTTGGTTTCAATGCGTCACGATCCTTGCGAAGCAATTGCTAGCTGCTAAAACCGAAATGCAAAACAATTCCTTTGAGCAGCGGGTGCATCTGATTTCATCTCAACCCCCAGTCGCATTCTTCGCGAACGCTCGGTGTCTATGTAACACCAAGAAAATTCAAAGTCTTCAGACTCTACTGAAAGAATCTACATTGTCTCATGCCACTCAGCAGCTGCTGCCCGGGACGCTCTCTGGCCTGCTGCCTTCGTACGCTCCTCATTCTTGTATTTTCGGAAATGAGCATTCCTTGCCTGGTGGTAAGCACGGCTGGTGACGTCTTTCAAAGTCATCTTCAAAGCTTTTTGCATTGGCTTCTCAACCTTGAACCTTTTCTTCCTTCTGAACCGCCTTTCCCTTCTTCTGCTTCGACTTCGGAGAGGACTTTGCAGCAGCAGGCTTCTTCACAGGTCGTCCCTCCACATTCTTTTTCGAAGCCTTTGTTGGTGGAGCAGCAGCAACACCTGCAATCTTCTCAGCCTTTCTTTTATAATCTGTGTCCTCCAAAGCCTGTGCTAAGACATGACCAGAAGCAATGGCAGCAAGACTTCTTGCCTGCTTTTGCATGGACTTCGGCACCTGGTTCTTTTTCTCCGTAGATGCTTCCGATGGAAGCATTTGCTGCTTCAAGTCCTGGACTGCTTGGTCATGACACGCAACCTTTGGCTCCTCATGGCGCTTCTCTGCTTGGTCTGCAAGCTTGTTCACAGCGCCTTCCGTCTGCGCAGATGCTGAAGGAAGACTTTCCACAGGGGGCAATGCCAACTGATTGCGTTGCTCTTCACGACAAGGAAATGTCTGCAACGCACTAGCTGCCCCCATCCTGTCTGCATCGGTCAAAAGCCCAGAAGCTCCTCCGCTCTTCGGCAACATTTGAAGCGGGACTTCTTGGCCAGCACGCACCAAAGACGCTAAGCCTTTCATCAACTCCCGTGCAAAGCTTCCCATCGGATCAGCACTTGCCGCCGTGGAAGCCTGTGTTGCCAACTTGTACTGCTTCACAGCTTCATGGCTTTCTCGGTTCGGAATGGAATTGGCCAAATCGGCAATTTTGCTTGGAACAATAGGTCCTTTCAAGGTGACTCGCTTCCCAATCTCCTCAGGCAAATCATCCGGACAGGACGGCAAGCTGCCCAAGAGCAACTTCAGGTCATCACTTTTCCTTTTTTGGTTGGCAAAAGATGTCCACATCTTCTTCACAGTCTTCAAGGTGCAGTACAAGGCAAACAGATTCTTGGGCTCGCTGGCGAAGTATTCCAACGCAGCAGTCATACTTGCTGAAGTAGCTTCGGAAGGCAATCGCAAGCCAAAGCTCCACACGTGCTGGAACAAAATGGTGCTGCTACTGGAAAACGGACCTCGCTGCAAAGCATCCCAAACAGCATCAGTGAGAAAAGAATCCAAAGCAGTGTAGTCCTGGTATGGTCGTCGACCACTCTTCACACCCATTTCCCACACCTTTTCCCTCAAGATCTTCTGCAGCCACTCTTTCTCCTCAACGCTCAAAGAACCTTGCGCGCTGATGCAAGACGACAATGCAACAGCTCCTGCTTCGTCCAAAGATAGCTCTTTAAGAGCTTTCTCAACTAGCTGCATGTGAAGCAGCCGGTCAATCTCAGGAGACCGAGAAAAAAGGTCATTCAGGGCTTGTACCTGATCACCTCCAACAGAACTCATGATGCCCAAATGGCAGCCGGTTACTTGACCCCAAAATTCTTCCAGCAAAAAAAAGTTGCATGCTATGGCAAGTCAACCATATCACAAGCCAAACCTTTCCTACAGCGGACACACCGCCAAAGAACCAAGCACCTATTCTGCAACCTTTCTGCAACTCAACATTCACTTATTTTCCACAAAAAGTGAAAAACAAAAGAAAAACAAAAACAAATGCAATATAGATAGACATTAAGAAAAACATCGAAATCAGAGTAAATTTAAAGTTATAGCACCAAAAAATCATCAAAAAATATGGCTTTAGCTATGTAAACCTAAGTAGGTTAAGTGCGTTTTAGCGATCGCGAACCTGCCTGAAGCTAACTCATTTCTAAATCTTGCCTAAATCCTGCTTACACCCCCTAATCTTACATATACTATATTTTATTTTCACTTATACTCTTACTCAAACAAGTTGTAAATAAACTAAGACCTAAGGACGCATGTATTAGCTTTTCTGTCCTCAGTGGTTCGCCCCAACCCGGACATTTTTCCACACTTACACCCGGACATCATCATGATCATGATCAGCATCATCATCATCATCATCAGCATCACCATCACCATCACCATCGTCATCGTCATCGTCCTCATCATCATCATCAGCATCATCATCATCATCATCACCATCACCATCACCATCACCATCATGATCATCATCGTCACCATCACCATCATCATCATCATCATCATCAGCATCACCATCACCATCACCATCATCATCATCATCATCATCATCATCATCATCATCACATCATCACATCTGGATCATGATGTCATCACATTAATATTCGCCACCAACTATGAACAATATGTTGGTTGGGGTAATAACATCAACCTAATCTTCATAAGGGATCAAATTCGCCACCCCCTATGAACAATATGTTGATTGGGGTAATAGCATCAGCTTTATCTTCATAGCCACCTGAAGTCAGACGCGGCGCAACGTCAGGGATGCAGCGAACATGTTAAAATCTATACCTGCTGGTTGCAGTACTCTCCGGTGTCATCAAACGTTACTGGAAAATCACCATTTGATCGATGATTTTCCCAGCTAGAAACCTCCGTTTTGGTCAGTGAATTCCCAGCTAGCCATGTTTGATTAATCGAGGATACCATCTGGTTATTTAACATAGCCATGGAAAATAGCCCATTTATAGATGATTCTCCCATTAAAACCTCCATTTATAAGGGATTTTTCATGGCTATGTTAAATAACCAGAGGATAAATTCCAATTGATCAACCCTTACTACGACCAAGCATGGCCTATGAACAATATATTAGCGATCAACCATTGCCATACTGTGGATGGTTGCGAAATCCTGCACCACCTGGGATGGCAGAAAGCCTATAATGGGATAAACCTCCTATTCACTGGTGCATGATTTCATGATATCGAAACCATCCACAGTATCAATCCCTCCTTTTTCTTGATAAACCTTATACCCTCTGGTAAATTAACAGTTCGACCCTGGCAGTCATCCGGGTTGGAAGACGAATGTTTCCATTAAAAATAGGTGATAAAATCAGGGTCTATGTTAATTTACTGGAGGGTATATTTGCTGGCTAAATTTACCAATCATCATAGTGAACCAGGGATTTGGGGCGGTGGATGGAGATCATCGCGAATCAAACAGGGAACATGTCATTTCGAGGATAGCAGCTGGGACACATCTCGGGGATGCCGCAAATCAATGATGGGTATAATGCATGTAGATAAAAATATATACACCATCTGGTTATTTAATGATAGTTAATGATGGTTAATGATGGTTAAAACACCCCCTAAAAGTGGTTAATGATGGTTACCCTCTGGTTATGACTAACAGTTCGCCATGGAAAATCACAACCATCAATGGAGGTTTTTTTGAGCTGGGAAAATCATCTATTTCTATGGGCCATCTATACCATGGCTATGTTAGTCATAACCAGAGGGTACATCTTAGAAGAAAACGGGAGTTTAAGCAACTAATGATGGAGATGGGCTAACACTAGGAAACCAACCAGGGAATTGTATTTTTTGAAACCGACAGGGGCCATAAATAGTCTAGGGGATTCTAGGGGTATATGATCAGTATTTTCAGTATAAACATGTATATCCCTTTTCTTTTGTCGTGAAGCCCGTAGTTTTGCTGCTTAAACCTCTATTGATGTCAACCCTGCATTAATAAACCCCAAACGGTCATTTAATTGGGGGGATACCATTGAAGTATTAGATAAAATGACTATTGGAGTACCCCCACAATGACTTCATAAACCATGGTTTATCAGATCGCAAAATCCCCTCTAATAACCAATCACCAAGGTTTTTGGATACTATACATCACTATAATCTGGGTAAATTGTAATATTTCACTAACCTGAATAGTTCGGCTATCTTGGGGATATTTCCCCGAAACCTCACCATGACTATAGGCTTCGGGAGACCAGTGAGGTCGTTATAATTTACCTAGATATATCCATTCTCATCCATATACCCTCTGGTAAACTAACATAACTATGGAACATCACCACTTTGTAGCTGGGTAAATCAACTATAAATGTTCATTTTCAATAGCTATGTAAACAATATATTAGTGATCAACCATTGCCATACAGTGGATGGTTGCGAAATCAGTGGAATAACCAGTGGATGGTTGTGAAATCCTGGTTGATTCGACATTCAAACACGATAAAACTTGCCCTCTTCACGCAGAGATCTTCATATCTTCACCGGGCCACCATGGCGGCGCGGACAAAGATCTGCCCAGCAATGGCTTCGTGGTCGGCACCTGCCGTGGTGTTGGGTGACTGGGTGCTGCCAGCAGTCGTTGGACCAATGGATGGAATGTGGTGATTTTACCCTGGTTTCTAGTGGTTTGATGGTGATTTATAGTGGTTTAGTCCCGGTTAATGGTGATTTATAGTGGTTTATAGTGGTTTAATGGTGATTTATAGTGGTTTATAGTGGTTCGATGGTGGTTAATAGTGGTTTATAAGTGGTTTTTTTCGTGGTTTATAATGGTTAACTGGTTGGTTTTCTATACCTACCCCTCTGAAAAAATATGAGTTCGTCAGTTGGGATGACTATTCCCAATATATGAAATGGAAAATACAACATGTTCCAAACCACCAACCAGCTAGTGGCCAAGTGGCCATTTAGTTCGTTGATTTACCCCTTCAAACTGTTGATTTTGTCTTAGATTTTTCTATAGTCATGTTAATTTCTCAGAGGGTAAGGGAAAACATGTTTTAAATCAGCAAATTCGGTGGTGCCCAATGTTTCAGAGAAACCCCAATTGGTTTAGTGGGATCATGGTTAAAAGTTACAATAACTCTGGTAGGAAAAGTTGTTAAAACAAGCTTTAAGTCTCGTTGTCAAAAAGGGAATCCGAACGGGTTTTCAATAAATGACTAATATGAAATCACTGAATCATTTTATTCAAATTCTGATTTCGTTAGATTACTAATGAAAAATCTGGTTTAACAATATGTTTTCAATAAAGGACTGAATCTGGAACATGAACACCGCATTTGAAATTGACAGTGGAACAACAGATTCCATGATTCTTGCTGTAGATCTTATTATGCACCATTGCCACATCCATTGACCTATATAAATACGTATATATATATATATATAGTACCCTCTGGTAAACTAACATAGCTATGGAAAATGGCCCATTTATAGATGGCTTACCTATTGAAAATAGTGATTTTCTGTAGCTATGTTAAATTAACAGAGGGTAGTTCCATTTTCCGGATCATTTGCACCACTTGCCAGAGCTCACCCGGCTGAGGCTTCCAGGAGCCCAGGGCCATGTGTTTCGTGAGATGCTGTGAGAAATCCATGGCATCTTCAAATAACTATGGAAGCTATAGTAATCCCCAAATAACTATGGAACATCACCACTTTTAATGGGAAAATCCATGAAATAACTATGGAAAATCCACTAATTATTACTGGTGCGTGCTAAACGTAGGGTTGCTGGATGGGTTGGAATTGGGGTTGCTGCGATGATCTGCTTGATATATTTGGCCAGTGGATCATTCCCGAAAATTCTCCAGTAAGTCTTCTGACTCTGGAAACCATGAACTGGGTCACCAAACCTGGTGGCAATGTCCACAGCGAACGAAAGAAACACTGGGCCACTTCGGGTGATCTCCAGCAGCCACATCCCATTCACATTGAAAATGGTTGCTTTTTGTCAACCGCTTAAAAAACGATGTGCAAATCCAGACATCATGGATTTTCTGAATCGAAAATGGGTTGATATCCAGTCCCTTCGCAAAATGACCATGATGATATTTCCCATCGAGAATTCCCATTCATATCCCATTCATGTGGGAACAACTATGCCAGAAACCACCCATTTGGAAATGGTAACCATACCACCTATAAAAATGGTGAAATTGTGGACGGTTTATTGTTGTTTTGCCAACATTATACCATTCTCATACCATATTCATAGGGTATAATGGGATACCTGTATCATTAATATGGTGGTCTCCTGAAATAGGGGTACCTCCAAATCACCCATTTTAATAGGATGTTCCATTATAAACCATTCATTTTGGATACCACCATTTATGAAAAAAACCACATCCACATGGAAATCCCACATTTTTGATGCTTAAATCCATAGCACCCTGCCCCGCCTAGTACCTCCTGGGCCTCGGCTTTTTAACGATGATTTTTTAACCGGCAATTTATTGACAAGCAACGTTGATCTCCATTAGTGTAGTTGATTAGTGGTTGATATATATAACATAACTACATGGGGATTGATCATTGTTTAGTGAAAAAATCATAGGGGTATTTTTATGATTAGTGGGATATAAATGTTGATTATAACTAATCATATTAATCGTTGTTCATTTAACCAATCAATCATATTATCAATGGATTGGTTTAAGGGAACATATTTCCATAGGAAAAAACAATCGCGTGGTTTTGAAACAGATGTGTTTTGCTTATCAATTTGCGCATGATTAAACATAGTTTAAGAATGATGTTGTCGTTTACAAGTGAATGATGAATCATTATTACCACGAATAATCATGCTTAGTGATAATTAACTAATGATCATTATTTACACATGAATACTGACCCCTGTTTAAGAAAATATAATTTCCTGCAATAAACAATCGATATGCACACATTCAATTGTCATCATAAATAGCCTTTGTCTATCAATGATTTTAGCAGCTGTTGGGGCTCAGGATATGGAAGATGAAATGAAAAGAAACTTCCAATCATCGAATTGGTTCCAGTTGAGAGGGTTTGCTGCCATCAAACTAGATTTTTTGAAAGCCCACCCAAAAACAAAGAATAAACGAACCAAACAATAAAAGTAATCATGATTAAAACACACAACTTGGTGGCTCATCCCACTTAGTAAGTGGGTTAGTTCACCCCAATCAAAAAAGTGGATTAACCCTACTTATCCCATGTACATCTCTGGGGTTATAACCCACTTACGATTCGTGGGATGAACCACCAAGAATGGTATCTTAGCAGATTGACAAAAAGCTGATGACAGCCTTGTGCAATTCCTCTTCATGTCTCCTGAAGGTGCAGGTTTGGTGTCAACACGTGTATCTCCCAACTCAAGCTGAACAGCACCACCACCAAAAAACAAAAACATGGAAACCTATACATAGAGCCTTGACCGACTCAGAACTTGGTCAGCCCAATGATTTTTATTCTCCCAATCGTTTTATTTTGTGGAAAAGTCGACAAAAATAATGTGCAGCACATCCGTCCCTTAAAGTCTTCCTCTGTCTGGTCAAGACAAAGTTTTTCTGTGTAGAAATTCTGTTTTGAACTTCAGCTTTCTTCATCATTTGGATTCATCATAATCTAAAATCATCTAAAGAAATCCCACCTGAAATAATCCCTGGAGTTTGGGGGTGCTTTCGATGACGGCCAGGTGATAAGCTTGGGGCAAGTCTGCACTGAGCCTCCAGACCACTTTTCTCATCTTAGATTCAAACTGACTGCCTCTGGAAAACATGGGGGCACCATGACATTGGGAGCCTTACGTGGGATTAAAGAAGCACAAGAACCAAAGAAGAATAGAGGTATTGAATGGTATTGATCTACATAGGCTAGTGGGAATATATTGGGGATATGGAGGTTTCCTAAAATCGGGGTACCCCCAAATCATCCAATTTTAATAGGATTCTAATAGGATTTGCCATTGTAAACCATCCAGCGATAAAGGGGTATCCAGCCATTTTACGAAACCTCCATATGTATTTCTGGATAAGGTATCTCATAATTCACGAACCGGGGCGGTCTGGGCCGCCCGGGCCATTGAAAAAGGGATAGTTCTCAGAATCACATTCCCATCATTCAAGTTTTGACGTTGTGACGTGCGGCCGGAAAACACATCACCGTGTGAAAAAAGTGGCAACAAAAGCATGACCCCGTGGTTATTCAACATAGCTATGGAACCACTTACGATTCCTGGGGTGCACATCCAACTGGGGCATGGTTTTCAAATCCCCATCCACCAAAAATCTCCATCATGGTTCAATCCCCCGTTAAAATGATTATAAACCATTGACCATCCCAATCAGTATCTGGTTCGTAACCTTTGTTAAGTCCCTGATTCCTTGGTTATCCCATTTACTGGGTTCTGGGTAAATTATAATATTTCACTAACCTGAATTAAGGCCATACTGGGATGATTTCCCTATAAAAACCATGATGAACCAGGCTTCGGGAGAACAGGCTTCGGTCGTGATGAAATTTACTGGCTTCGTGAACGAACCCGACAAAGAAAACCCACCATCTACTTTTTTTGGTGGTTAAATCCATGGGATTTTCAGGATCCAATACATGGAGCTACGGTTTACGTACCATATTTTGGGCCATATGTGGGGATCTTCCCTGAAATTTATGCCGGAAAAATCCGCCAAACAAATATGGAATCGGAAATTTACCCAATTTACCCGGCCTGGTAAACGTTAACATAACGAACTGGAACATCACCATACTATTTATGGGAAAATCCACTATTTCGACTGGGCCATGTTCAATAGCAAACTGTAAACGTTTACCAGAGGGTAACCTTGATAACCGCCCCCATTTGTTATTGGAGTTATGTTCACCAACTTAGCGTTCTCGAACGGGGGCACCACCTTGTAGGTACCTCCAATTTTCTCAAGATGGCCAGTGATTACCCTCCAGTAAATTAACATAGACCCTGCCAGATGGGGGTTGAAAGACTAGTTTCCACTATAAATAGGTCAGTTTCAGGGTCAATAAGTTATATAATTTACCAGAGGATATCATATCAAAAAAACCATTATAATTATATGATTATCCATTATTCACCATCCATTCACCACTATTAACCACTGGTTTTTCCCAAGATGGTCAGTGATTAAATCCCCCATCGATCCCCACCTTTCAGGCTACTCTCTGCGATAAAGGCCTCAGCGAGCTCCAGAAACGGGGTCACAATGGGTCACAACGGGTCATCAAAATTGGCTGCTTTTGGCAACTGGGCAAGAAAAGGATTCAACCAACCATTTGATACTGAAAGAATAAGGATAATATAGAAAAAATAAGTACTAATATCATGTATATATATAATATCATATTCTTTGATATTTTTCATGGATGGTTGAATCCACACATAATAATATATATATATATTATATGTGATTGTCTTTTCATTGGATTTCACCAGCAACATGTAGATCTCACAGGCTTGCTCCCAACAGTCCAATATACCAATCCCGTTGTGCCCCCCAGACGTGGCGATCATCGACCAGCAACATATGGACTTCATCAAAGGATTGGCCTATCTCATTGAGTTATATATACCCGGCCTGGTAATGACTAACATAGCTATTGAAATTGACCATAGAAATAGTGGATTTACCCATTGATAGCATGGTGATTTTCCAGTTCGTTATGTTAGTCTACCAGAGGGTAACACAAACAATCTTATGGTGATGTAGGGAGTTAATGCTTTTTTGATGTAACCATTTCATATGTAGCAATTCTAATGGACAATGAGGTTTTAAAAAACAACAAGATTTGGAGCGCGGAATTCGCCCATGTTCGGAATTGCGGATTTCACATCCCAGTTTTGGTGTGGAACTAGCCTTGACAAATCTCCATATATGAATGGGACTTCAAAACGGCAAAGCCCCAAAGAACACCCTTGAGGAATCCCCTTGAGGTCAAGATTTTTTGGAGTTTTTTGCTTCCGGTGCTCCATCATTTATGTGAATTTGTAGATGTTGTTTGCATGGATTGGTTTAAGGGAAAATCCTAACCGGAAACCAGAGATTTCCCCTTTAAATATGGGGTTTTCCTGTAATTTTTCCTTACATTGATTGTTTGCATCAAAATGGTGCATTTTCCGTTCAGCCATGTGAGCAACCTCCAACGACCCCTGCCATCGCCTTTGACTGGTTGAGAAGAGGGGTTCCCAATTCATGGGTCAGTCCACAATCCCCAATAAACCGGTACTTTGAATGGTTAAAATCCCATAAACATCACCATCAAACATCAATCACTAGCAGTTTCGGTCACTGCTCATGTAGACTCCCTCATTTCTTTTTGATTTGATATCAATGTTTTTTCAATGAATTCTTCATTTGTGCTTGTTCAAAGGCTGATCACCATTAATATACAATCTTTTTTTACCAGGTCAACTCCATATTTTTCTTAGGTCAACTCCCACATGTCCCATGTGTTTAACTGGTTGGTGGTTTGAACCATCTTGAAAAATATGAAAGTCAATGGGAAGAATGATCCCATATCTGATATGGAAAACAATCCATTCATGTTCCAAACCACCAACCAGAATAGGTTATAACCCCATTAAAAAAGGTGATTTCCATAGTTACGTTAGTTTACCAGAGGGTACATATCCCAATATTTTCCAATATATCTTATATAATGGGCTCATAAACCAGCACGCATTTCACTAAGACCATATATCCCAATGTATCCCAATATATATATATATATATCATGTCCCTATCATTTCACACTACATCTAGGGTACATATCCCATTTTTTTCTGCTTCTGCTGCCCCCAGTTTCACCCTGTTTCACCCTGTCCAAGAGGCGATGGTGCTGGGCAACTCCACGCGCGCGGAGACCAAGGTACCAACGCCTGGGGCGTTTCAACCGGCAACCGTTGGGTTTTCACAGTACTAGAAATAGATGATGGTTACTACAAGGTGGTGCCCCATAGTTAGCTAAGTTGGTTTAGAAGTCCAATAACTAGGGTTTATGGGGGTTACATCTATAGTTAATGGGGATTATACACCAACTTATAACTGGGGGGGCAACACCTTGTATGGGTAATTATTATGGTTATTAATGGTTAATAATGGTTATGAATCGTTAATAATGGTCACTAATGGTTAATAATGGTTATTCTGATGGGATGATGGTTATATTAACTAGTTGGTTTCTATTTTTGTGTAACTATGGCTACGAAGAATTCCTATAACTATGGTTTATTACGGGTTTAACTATGGTTAGTATTTGTGTATAACTATGGGTAATAAGATTAACTTAGTCATGATGGTTAATAATGGGAACCAACTGAAATATCATGGCTTATTCAGGATTAACTAATTGGTTACGATTTTTGTATATCTATGGTTACGAAGAATTCCTATAACTTTGGTTTATTATGGGATTAACCTGAAGTTACGATGGTTAATAATGGTTATTAAGAATCATTTCCATGGTTTCTATTTTTGTATAACTATAGTTAGTACCAATTAACTAATTTGTTACTTATAAAGCCAGTTGTAGATGGGATATCAGTAACCATATCAGTAACCATTGGTGCCTTCATGTGGCACTCCCTTCGTGGTTGCTCAGTTGGCGTCTGGTCACGCTGGTCAAGACCAGCTTGGGCATTTCACTGCCTCCACTGCGGCCTGAAGTTGCCGTCCGATCCACTTTCCTCCAAGAAGTCCTCGCCAAGGCTCTGAATTCTTTTGCGCTGTACGTCCAAATTCTCCAACTTCTACGGTCGGTGGTGCCCCCGTTCGAGAACGCTAAGTTGGGGGCCACATAACTCCAATTCAACTATGGTCTATAGATGATGTATCTACAGTTAATCTAACCAACTTAATGGGGTATACCATTAGATTTCACTATGGGATTATAGATAACTGTAGATAACCAGTTAATGGGATGATGTATCTAACCATCATCTATAATTATAGATACATAAGTTCATGGGATTATAAACCAATTTAGCGTTCTCGAACGGGGGGCACCAACTTCTAGGATTCCAAATCCCAACCCAACTAGGTGTCTAAATCCCGTGGTTTTTTGTGTGGGATTAGATGAGGATTCCCGTGGTCTATGGGGTTACAATGAGGATATTTTGGGGGGATATCATGGGGGTTTGTTTGGGATCTTCATGTATTTTTTTCTATGATTTCTGATGAAGCAAGTATTCAAAGTTCTAGAAAAAACACAACATGGGTTTTTCTGTAACTTATATTACGGTAAATTAACATAGACACTGCCAGATAGGAGTTGGAAGACTAGTTTCCACTATAAATTGGTAATTTTCAGGGTCTATGTTAATTTACCAGAGGGTATATTACCTATCATCTGGTTGCAGTTTGCAAAGATCAACAAAGCAGATAAAACAGTTTACAGTGATGGATTTTTTTTTCACTGGGATATCATGAAAATTTCATGCGGCTACTGTGACGGTGCAATGCCAAACGGCGCCGTTCCCAAGCCAGGTTTGGCTCGACCGTTCCTTGGAATTCGATTCGACTTGGGTCTTTGATGGGGATATCTAATCCTCCTATCAGAGAGATTTAATTAGTGGAAATTTACCAGCTTTCTGATTTAGTGGGGATTTACCAGCATAATTTGGATTTCTCAACCATTTTATGGGCCTTTTTCTAAGGTTTGAAGAACAGTAGCAACACTATGGGGTAAATTATCTACAGTTTTTGGTGGGAAAAAAACGGTCTGTGGATTCCAGGTTCTTTTTTTGTGCCATCAAAACATGGTCGATTGTCATCCTCGTCATCCATCCCTCAGAAGGTTCTGAACATGGCCTTTTTGTGGGATTTACCCACCATTTTTGGGATTGAACATGCCAAAGAACGAATCAATTTGTACAATGTGAGGCCCCCAAACGTGATGTGAACGTTGGTTAACAAAAGCCCCAGTAACTATAGTTGTAAAGTTATAAGTACCATAAACCATAGTGAAATTGGAGGTATAAACCAACTTAGATATCTTGGGGGCCTCACATTGTAGGGATATCATGATATCATGGTGGTAACAATTTGATATTGATGTTGGATTTCCGCTGGAACCGGCAAAATTGGGATAGAATACAAGATGGTGCCAACAGTTACCAAAATGGGTTAGAAACCCATTTTCTAGTTTGATATATTGTTTTAAGTCAAAACCCTGGTGACCAAAAGGTACACTAAAATCGCTGGTTACTGGATGTTTACCCTCTGGTAAACGTTTACATAACTGTGGAAAATCAACATTTTTAATGGGTAAATCCACTATTTCTATGGCCATTTTCAATAGCTATGTAAACGTTTACCAGAGGGTAGTCCCACAAACATATGGAAATTTCATAGGTTTTTGACCCACCACCACCCCGTAATTGATATAATAAGGCCTATGTTTTCTGGGCTATGTAAGGGGATATGCCTTCAGTCCAGACGATGGCTTTATATACGTATATATATATATATGGCTTTAGATATCTTTATATGGTACAGTACCTCCACTTTAGGTACCTGAAATGGCCATTGGGCCAAGTCCCTATCCACAGTTCCCATTTGAGGTTGTTTGCGAAAACCTTCCGTTTCTATCACAAATAATGAACCGCTGGCTTCCAGTCGTTGAGGATACCGAAACAATCTTTTGTCAGCTTTTTGGCTGACATGAGTTATCTCTCATTTGAAGTTCCCATGTGTTAAATCCTAAACTTTTGGTGCTTTTATGTGAAACAACCATCCAAACTATGGCTTTATGTATATATAAATATATATACGGATTTATGTATCTTTATATTTATGGTACAGTACCTCCACTTTAGGTACCTGAAATGGCCATTGGTCCAGGTCCCTATCCACAGTTATGCAATTTAGAATCTGAACGCCTAACCTTTTGGCGCCAGAAACCATTTTGCCACCGCGGCTGCACTGCCGTCAGCGCCGCCGCGCCTGGTTTTTCGAGGGGCCACGTACCAGACATCCACTCGTTGTGAGAGGTGCCTAACAGCAAGGTCAAAACGCTGTTAAGGGTTGATGATCTGGTGCCACAAAGTGGGTGAACATAACTCTAAATTCACTGAAGTTTTGAGGGGCAGATCTATAGTAAATCAATTTCACTATGATGTATTGGGAGAATATCTATAGTAAATCAATTTCACTATGATGTATCGGGAGAATATCTATAGTAAATCAATTTCACTGTGACTTATCGGGGAGATATCGAACTAGAAAATGAGATGATGATCTGGTGAAAGCTCTCTGGATGGATCATCTACTTGTCGGGATGTAACATGATATAGCATGGCATGATGCAATGAACCAGTAATGCAGCAAACTTGGGATATAAGACTGGGTAAATTATAGTATTTCTCTAACCTGAATTAAGGCCATTTGGGAATGATTCCCCTTGCTAACCATGATTCCAGTGAGGTCGCATTGAGGTTGTTATCGAAGGAAGTTTAGAAGTCAAACTTCCGACAATATTGACGGATGAAAAGCAGAGCAGGGCAGAGGCAGAGAGAAGAGAAAGATTAGAAGAGAGAAGATCAGAGAAGAGAAAGAGTCAGAAGAAAGAAGATGCAGATGCGCGAAAAGGTAAAGTCGCGAAACACTGTGTTTTTCCAATGATTTGGGGCTCCGGAGGGTCGACAAGTAGGCTCGCTAAAGCGGCGGGTGCGGAGCCAGCTGGTCAGATGAGAGATGAAAAAGTGCACGCCGTTGTGGCGCGAAGCACATTTCCAAGTCAAAATGTACAAAACACACCAGCGTCGGAGCGCTTTTGGAAGTTGAGATGTCGAAAAAGTGCACGCCGTGGTGGCGCGAAGCACATTTCCAAGTCAAAATGTACAAAACACCACATGTACGGACCATTTTTGGAGGTTCAGATGTTGAACAAGTGCACGCCGTTGTGGCGCGAAGCACATTTCGAAGTCAAAATGTTAAAAACACCAGGGGTTCCGACCACTTTTGGAGGTTCAGATGTCGCTTCGCTTCGCTTCACTACACTACACTACATTACACTACACTACACTACACTCCACTACACTACATTACACTACACTACACTCCACAACACTACAACTACACTCCACTACACTCCACTACACTCCACTACACTCCACTACACTCCACTACACCCCACTACACTAAGTTACACTACACTGCACTACATTACACTACACTACACTACACTAATTTACACTACACTACACTCAATTACACTACATTACACTACACTACATTACACTACACTACAGTACCTTCCACTACACTTCACTACATTACGCTACACTACATTACACCACACTACAACTACAACTACACAACTACACTACGCTACATTACACTACACTCCACTACACTACATTACACTACGCTACGCTACCTTCCACTACACTTCACTACATTACTCTACACTACACTCCACTACACTACAACTACAACTACACAACTACACTCCACTACACTCAATTACACTACACTACACTACATTACACTACACTACACTCCACTACACTACATTACACTACACTACCTTTCACTACACTCCACTACATTACATTACGCTACACTACACTACATTGCACTACACTACACAACATTCCACTACACTCCACTACACTACACTACATTACACTTCACTACATTACACTGAATGACACTGCACCATAGATAGACAGGTAGACAGATAGACAGATAGATAGATAGGTAGATAGACAGATAGACAGGTAGACAGCTAGACAGATCGACAGATGAAAGCGAGAGAGAGAGAGAGAGATAGAGAGAGAGAGATAGATAGATAGATAGATAGATAGACAGATAGACAGGTAGACAGGTAGACAGATAGACAGATGAAAGAGAGAGAGAGAGAGATAGATCGATAGATAGATAGATACATAGAAGATAGATAGGTAGGTAGGTAGGTAGGTAGATAGTCAGAGAAAGAGAGCAAAAGAGAGGAGTCCTCAAGCACCTTTCGGTCCATAAGTGGATTCGCTCTGCCATCCCTGGTTCACAACAACCAACCTCTCCTATAGGTTTCCTATTTTTGAAACTTCCGCCACCGCCTTGTGCGGTACTACTGGTAATTTTCCCGGGTAAATGAATGTAACGTGATATGACCAGCAATTTTCAGTGTCCGCCAAATATGGGCATATGATTCAGCGGCCCATCCCAAAAGCTCGCGGATGAATAGCCAACCTTGCTACATATGCCCTAAAACTGTTGCCTCAGTTGCAGTGATCTTCGCCGACGCATACGAAAGGCCAACGTAGTACCCCAGAGTGTAGCCAAAGAAGTCGAACGGGAGCCCCGACCCTGCCTTTGTGGCTGTCGGGTCAGACAGCTCGGTGGTATGCCACTGGCTTATATGGCGGCGGTGCCGCCGCGGTGCCACTTTCCTCCTGTCGGGAAGTGGTGCCCAAGGGATCCCTACCCTTTTAGCAGGGGAGGATGTTAAAAACATATTGATGCAGTACAGTTCAAACACTTTTTCTCCAGAAGAATCCACTGTAGCTTCTGGTGGCTTCGAATTTTCAGGGCCAAATGCTGTCTGCTGGCAAACTGCACAGCGCAGCAGCCACTCCAGGTGGACATGCGCGACATGCGCAACATGCGCTCCTCTGCTCTGCGGGTGTCTA